GAATGGTAGGATCCATCATATGGTCACCAAAAAAGGTTGCGGAATGGGTGGGCGAATTTCAAAAAATTTCCTACATTTCTTCCAACTGGGAATCATATTCCCTAAATTTAGAATACAATATTCAAGGATCTACTCGAACCAAAACCGAACCAGATCTGAACCAAAAGAGAAGGGAAGGGTTATACCTGATCCGGAGAAGCAGTATCTCCCAACGTCAGTGTTCACGCCCAAAGAAAATCCCAAGAACAGCTCCCACTAAAGATGACAGTGATGATGGAGCCGAACCAGCAGTGTTCGTCCCACGAACCAGGTTCTTCTGAAGAACTTGATGGAAGCAGTGAGCACCACAAAAACAATCAAGAACCTTTCTTGATCTTCTCTTACTGAGAACTCAAACTGGTAGAAAAAATGGCGGCGGCTGCTGGAGGAGAATGCTAGAGAAGAAGTTGGTGAACTGCTATTTTCTTCTTTAGGGTTTCTGAGATCCTATCTCAAGAATGCAGAGTTCTGCTAAAGCCCTAAGGGTTCAAATTCTAGTAATTCGAATTAGGGTTATTTTCTCTTTCTTTGTGATCAAGAAACCTCCTAATCTCATTAGGAGTTATCMTAATCCAAATCTGTATTTGGATAAGGAGTCTTCTTAATCCTATCTGCAGATTATATCAGCCTACTCCTGATCTCATCAGGAGGTTACCAGATTCAAATTTGGATTTGAATCTGGTCTCCATGAGTGGATAGGGTTAAGACCCAATCCTTTTGGCTTAACCTAATCTTAGATCTGCCCCTTTAAGTGACTGATCAAATCAGCCCAGTTCAAAATGGGCTTTAGGCCTAACATGTATTAAGTGCTCAATAGTCTTCCAAACTGCTGCCCAGTTGGGCTTCTTTATATGGTGTGGAACCCAAGCATTGATCTACACATCAACCACATGGGTTCGGCCCAACCTTTGTTACAAGGCCTAGCCGAATTCATTGGAGAGCCTAGTGAACCCCATGAGCCCATCACATGGACTCTATGGGCCCAACACTTATACTAAGTGGTCCCTGGGCCAAGCCATCTTATAAAAACCCAGGGACTGTGGGCAGATGCAAGATTAGCCCATCAGGTATAACCCTAAATGGCCTTACACTTAACCTTTCAGCCCATGATGATCAAGCATTGCCCGACAAGAGAGGACCTCTCCCTCGGCTGCAAGGAACAGTGTTGCACTCTCTACTCATATGGATCCCTGGAATTAAAACCATTTGCAAACATTTTGAAACCGTATATGTATATATATCTTATATATAAAATTTGCAAAACAAAATTCCAACGATTGAAATCAACTGCCGGCAGTTTGGTTTTCATCAGAGAGAGTGCATTCTCGACCACTACCTTTGTCCGACAAAGGGGCTGATCCTGTCACTATGATCACCCACTCAGATGAACTCTCGGACTGTCCCAATATTCCCAGGTTTTGACCCTCGCTAAGGATCTCACTGATTGGCATATCAAAGACCGCCCAATCCGACACCAAGTGCAGTATCATAATCGAGTCTAAGGGTCAGGTATAACTTTCCAGTTTTGCCCATCAATCTCCAAGGTCCAAGACAATATTGGAAATCTAATCCGGTTCAAAGATTCAAGTAATCCTACACTGCATGTGCCTTGGATCTCACCCTGGCGGCTGAGACAAGCCACCCCAACATTTGGCAGCACACCAGTGTCAGCCTTGGCAGGATAAATCTCCCCAGACTTATCCAACGGCTGTGAATGTTCTAAACTAACACATGTCTCAATAAGTGTCCAGTTTAAGGGTCTTACACAGAAACATACCACACAACATGAATCAAACATATACTTTATTTATTTACACTAAATGTCAAAAGTACATCAAAACTGATTGGAGTTAAGGGTATACAAACTGTCTAACACTCTGGCGAAAAAATCTTTAAAGAAAAAATAGAAAAGAGAAAAGTGAACGAGAGTTGGATCTTTGGCGAAAACAGAGGAACCAACGAGAGTTGCTTCGTAAATACTTTAGAGCTTGATTGCTTCAGATTTAGAGTTCCCTTATTGCATGCCACTGGTTTCCTTAGAATCGCACTCTCCTCCCCCAACACCTCCGATGTAGTTAATGACATCAGTTTGGAGACAAATCTCATACTCATTTCCATCTAGCTTGCTTCGGAAACACTTTAGAGCCTTCCCCCTTAGGGACTCCAAATCTGCATCACAAGACTACGACGATGAGGATGAGGAAGACACCTCTTCTCTGTTACAAATCTCCATTCCTTTTCCTGCACTCGTGAAAAACCTCTTATTCCTCCTTTTAATTGGGATTTTAAACCTCATTGGACCAACTAGCCTACTCTCATGAACCCAGTCCAGTTGACCCACATTTTTGAACGCATTTCTTGGATCCAAATCTGCTCCATAACTGCCACTGCAACTCGGTCAATGCAGTCTTCTTCAAAAACACTTGTTCTGCCCTCATTTAAATTTTGAACTGGGGCTGTGACAAGTGAGATATAATCTCAACCAAAGGAACTTCCCCTAATTCTATGGTTAAGAATAAAGTTATTGTGTCTTCGTCTTCTCGGCTTGATGAGGTACCGGCTTTCATCATCCTTGTCATCGCCAACTTTCCTCTCAAACTAAGCTTCTTTCATCCTAATTTCTACCTCCTATGGCTAATGATGCTCCTTTACGAAAGCGGTTTTCCATTTAATTTCCTCCTCAATTGTAAAACTAAGCAAGCATTTATGCACAACTTCCTTTTTCAATTCAACAACATCAAGAAAGTCCGTTGGTGTTCTAATATGTTTAGGTTTGATCTCTGGCCAAAAAGTAATGACGAACATGCCTTCCCCTACAACCAGGTTCACTATGTGAGGTGGCACTCCTAGTCATCGAGCCTTAATCTGGATGTAGTTCAACGACCTTTTAAGCTCAGGCAACTCATCCAACTCCAAGAAACCTCCGCATAGGTCTCCAGTCTTGCTAGCCACCTCAAGACTCCATAATTGTAGTGGGAGCCCATACAATCAAATCCAAAAGGTAGTAAATGTCCTCTATCTTCTTCCAAATGCCTACGGATTCTGTCCATAGCTCTAGGTGCAACAGGGCACCTTCTAGATATCTCTTATCAGTATTCAAAACTCTCTTCGCCTCTTCCTTTGAAGAGAAGAGGAAGAGCCACATGGAGTTGTTCCAACTTCTTACCTCCACCCTTGCCGGAGCATTTGAAACCTTGCTCGCCCAAATTCAAACCTGTTTTATCTCGAGGTCCTGATGATCGAACAAACCAATTAGACAAGCTTGAAGGAAGTCTCTTCTCTCCCTCACTCCTTTCTCCTCTACCTCCAAGAAAAAATGATTAAGGTTACCCTTCAGGACACAGTTTCCTCCGGTCAACCAGTCCTTCCAAGCTCCATCCTTTCGAGCTTCCTCCCTTTGCCCTTACTACATTCATGTCTCCTTCCTAACCACCGCTGCTTTGAACCAAGGTTCTAAATATTGATATGCCAGTATGGGCACGGGTTTTTTTTTTTATTTCTGAAACCGATTTAAGGTTCTCCACCCCTGAACCGGTCAGACCCCCGATACACCCACTATAAGGGCATATCGGAAGGGTCTCGGAACGATAAGGACCGATACGTGTTAGTACTTTGAACCTTGCTTTTAACAATTCCGAAACTCCCCATGAACCAAACCCTTTGTCTGATGTTCATTTTCTGGTAGCGTCCGATGGTTCCCATGATACATGCTTTACAACATGACAACTCATAATACATGTCTCGCAGCTGCATTTTCCTCAAATTTGTGATATCCATTTTCCCCAAATTTTATATGTACCAAAATATATATAAAACTAGGCAAAATGATAATTTTATTTAGGTGGAAGTGGTTATAAACAAAATACAAAATAAAATTTTAATGTAGATAGATAGATAGTGAAATTATATAAATATGCATGTATGTGTGTGTATTCAACTATGATAATGGAAAAACATGGTACCAGAAAGTTTAGAACAATCAACGGGTATTGATTGGTCAAAATACCATATGGGTTTGATTATGATACCAAAATGACATAAAACGAGAAGAATTTATAACCAATCAACCTACGTCATAAAAGTGTAATCAATTAGGTGGAACTAAAATTTCCTAGATTACAATCTAACCTAATTAACCATAGTAGAACTGGACTTGATGGAACCGAAATTACCCAACCTTAGAACCTAACCTGCCTTAAAATAAGTTCCAAAGTACTTCATGGTCTCACTTAATCGTGTAAAAATTACTCAATATGTTTTAAACTAATTTCTATTCAATTATCATTAGCGAGTCATATTGAAAATTGTAAATGCGGCTATATCATTTTGATAAGAATAGGTTCCATGGATAGACCTTGGAACCTTGGAATCGATCTAGACAAGGTAGGTTTTAATTCCAAAAACCTAAGACTAACCCCTGGGTAATTTCCAACTTCCAAATTTTGCCTTGAAATTAGGGGTGTCAATTGAATTGGATTTGATCCAATCCAATGTGAGTCCATCACAAATGGATCAGGTTCAATCCAATCCAATGAACATTTTGGATCGGTCCAATTCAATATCTGAACCGTTCAATCTGTTCAAATTTATTTTAATTTAGATTAATTCTAATCCAAACTTGGTCCATTAACACTTATATTTTTATCTTCTATCAATAGATCAGATATTGACTCAATCTAACCCAATCCAATATAAATACAGTATGGATAGACCAGGTCTAATCCAATCCAATACATACTTTGGACCGTTAATTTTGGACTGGTCCAATCAATGTCTTGTTGGTCCGATACACCACATAAGCCCCAAGTGTTGGAGCCATTTGTATGGAGATAGCATAGTTTATCAAAAGAATTGTTGATGATTGGAACTCTTTCTTGGTCATCCCAGACAAACATCTGACAAGTCATAAATATGCTCATTAATTTCATCTTTTAAACTATCGACATATAATGGTTTTTCAGGTTATTGGTCTGCAGAATGGGCAGAATTGCAAAAACGCCATCGCTAAACTTGAAATGAACTCAGACGGACAGGGGTTGAACATGAAACTAACGAAAGAACTTTTGCCAAGAGCCCTTATATTTCGAATGACATGTAAACCCATTCAATACCCAGTTCATCTTTTTGATCAAGAGAATAATGAGTGCAATTAATCTTATAGCCCACTCCCATGTAGAGGTGTAAATCAGGGCATGCCAGGCCGGCATGGCATGGCCCGTGGGTGTTCCATGCAAAGTGCAAGTCGTGTCGTGATGTGCCGCCCTCCTTTGGGATAACTTGGGGGTCAGCCAGGCATGGCTCACGGCCCAAGCCCGTGCAGGCCCATGCGATGCCATGCCCTACCACAAGTCAAGCTGGTCCATGGGTCAAGCCTTGGGCTAGGCTGGGCCAAAGCTATTTATTTAAGAAAATTGAAAAAAAAAACTTAAAATTTTAATTTTATATGAATTTTGATGTATACAATTGCTTATATATATAGTAATTAAATAAACTAATATAATAAAATTGAAAACAATTATTTATTTTATTAATATATTATATACTATACATTATTATATAATTATAATTTACATAAATATATTTTTATATATAATATTATTATATATTGGCTGGGTCATACCGACATGTGGGCCACGAACAGCACGACCCACTTGGTCGTACTGGCCCGCGGACCTAAAACTCCAAGCCTAGCATGGCTCACACGATCATGCTGGGCTTGGCACGGCTCGTGTGCTATCGTTCAAGGCTATGCCAGGTCAGTCCAAAGTTAGGTCGGGTCGTGCTAGGCCTTAGGCAACACTACCTGATTTACACCTCTACTCCCATGGCAAGTTGGCAACGTGTCATGAGGCTAAAGCATTTTCTCTCATTAAAGGAAGGTTTTAAGTATCAACGAGATATCAGTTTCAAATGCCACCAAAATGCAACATCGAGGGAGTTGGGAGCTATCAATGTGATATGGACAAAAACAAATTACATGCAACACTTCAAGTATATAGCAATAACCATAAGAAATAGCAAGCTGAAAACAATAAAATGAGTTGGATTTTTAGGGATTTTAGACTTGAACTTGAAGTAAAACTCCTCCTAGAACAATTCCGCTACAGTGATAATGGCAATATATGAACCTCCCGCACATATACATAGTGATAGAGTGGAAGGTGCCAAAATAAGTCAACTCTTCAAAACCCAATATCTCAATACTTGCTAGAAAAGCCAATTAAAGTATTTACACATAAGCCCCTAGAATGTTTCTCTCTCACAAGCAACTCTTTAACAACAAAACTAAGGGTTTGTTTGTTTGCTCTAAAGTCTAATAACTGAAAGTGCAATAATTATATTAAAAGGTATTGGTGAACTTTTCTTTCCTCTGAACTAATGTAGAGAATGTTGTTTTGAATTCTGAATTCTATAAATCATCAAATATCCAGTTTGACCCCATATATGAGAAATTTGGTTTGCTTTTTTAGGGTATCATTGGAAAACATAAGTTGTATGATTGCACTTTAGGCTCGGTTTGGAAGGAGTACAAATACAAATATGTAGAGTGCAAAGCCTTGTATTTTGTATGCTTTGCACTGTATGAAAACAGAAACAAATGTTTGAAGATTTCTGTTCTAATTTCATTGAGAAGATCTGTACAAATATATACAACTTCTAAGAATCAATCTAGGAACTACTCTAGGAAACTAACCCACTAATTTAGCCTAAAGAAAAAAAGGAAACTAAATCACAGCCAAAAAAAAAGAAAATAATCACAGCCTAAATAAGAAAATAAATAACTCAAAACAGGAAAGATTCTAACTCGGATTCCACAAGGATCAATCATCGTCATCCCTTTCCAACACTCCCCCTCAAGCTGTTGAATGTATATCAATCATTCCCAGTTTGGATACATTTGTCTCAAACCCAACCCTAAGTAATGGTTTAGTGAGGATGTCTGCTTCCTGTGATCCAGATGGCACATAGGATAGACAAATTTTTCCACTTTCGATCTCTAATTTGATGAAATTTTTGTCAATGCAAACATGCTTCATTTGATCATGTTGAATAGGGTTGTGTRCAATTGCTATTGCTGACTTACTATCACTATACAGTTTCATTGGACTATCAAGTGGAACATTTAAGTCTGACAGTAGTCATTCAAGCCAATATTAACTCACAAATCCATTGTGCAATTGCCCTATATTCTACTTCTGCACTACTTCTGGACACAACAGTTTGCTTCTTACTTCGCCATGTAACAACATTCCCCAAACCTTTGTATAATATCCTGTAGTAGACTTATTGCCCTAAACCGAACCAACCAATCAACATCTGCAAATCCCTCAACTAACCGATTATTACTTTTCTTGAACAATATACCCTTGCCAGGAGTTCCTTTCAAATATCTAAGGATCTGATCAACAGCACACTAATGTCTCTCGGTTGGAGCATGCATAGACTGACTAACTATGGTAACACTATAGGCAATATCGGGCCTAGTAAGTAATAGATAGATTAGTTTTCTCACAAGACGTTGATATCTCTCTTTGTTAGCTGGAGGATCATTCTCAGAGATCTTATGCTTCAAATTCTTCTCCAGTGGAGTGCTATCTAGACGACAACCAAGCTTCCCGGTTTCCTTCAACAGATCTATGATGTATTTTCTTTGAGAAATGAAAATACCAGTTTTGCTTCTAGCAATTTCCATCCCAAGGAAATACTGAAGTTTTCCAAGATCCTTAACTTTGAACTCAGATTGTAGTAGGCCCTTGAGATTCGTAATCTCATCATTGTCATCACCTATGATTACCATATCATCAACATATACAATCAAGATTGATTTTTTTCCATCCCTTGACTGTTTTACGAATAGGGTGTGATTTGATTGTCCTTGTATGTATCCAAATCTTTTCATAACTGTGTTGAATCGAGTGAACAATGCCCTAGGAGATTGTTTTAACCTATACAGAGACTTCTTCAATTTACACATCCTAGTTTTTCTTTATCTTCGAAGCCAGGAGGCAACTTCATGTAGACTTCTTCATCAAGAGTTCCATTCAGGAAAGCTTTTGAAACAACCATTTGGTGCAATTCCCAATCCAAGTTGGCTGCCATAGACAAGAGAACTCRTATAGAGTTCAATTTTGCAACTAGTGCAAAAGTTTCTTCGTAGTCAAGCCCATATGTTTGCGTATACCCTTGAGCAATCAAACGTGCCTTGTATCTCTCTATTTTCCCTTCCAAGCCTACTTTCACCGTAAAAATCCACTTATAACCCACTAACTTCTTCCCTTCAGGCATGTTTACAAATTCCCATGTATTATTGTCATTTAGTGCCTTCATCTCTTCCAAAACAACAGCCTTCTATTTTGAATCTCCCAAGGCATCATATATATTTGTAGGAATTGTTACATCATCAAGCTGAGATACAAATGCCTAGTGAGTGTTAGATATGACAAATGATTTGAAATCGGATGTTGAGTACAAGATCTTACCCCCTTTCTTATASCAATGGGAACATCCAGATCATCAATTGTAACAGCACCTCTTTGTGAATCTTGTGGTGAATCCGCCATAGGTTCCGATGATTGGTTTTGTTGAGTAACACGGGGCCTCCTTGAGTAAACAATTAGTTCACTTTGTTGGACTGATTCTCCCCCTTGACCGAGACCTGTGGTTGTATCTGGTAGGGGTAATGGTGGAGACTCAGAGGATGGTAAAGTGGACATTGATGGAGACTGGGGCAAAGACACAGGAAGAGATATCGAAGGATCCCAATGATTATCTTCAATTAAATTCTCCCCCTAAAGAGAATCATGGGAATAGAAGGATTGATCTTCCAGGAATGTAACATCATAGGATACATAGAATTTTTTTGTGATAGGATTGTAACATTTATATCCTTTTTTAGTATGAGAGTATCTTATGAAGATACATTTGATGGCCTTTGGATCAAGTTTTCCCCGAGTATGACTGGTATTATAAACAAGCACATAACACCCGAATATTTTTTGTGGGAGAGAGTTGAGCAAACGAATATGAGGGAATTCTTTTTGAAGACAACTGACTGGTGTATGGAATTTGAGGGGTTTTGATGGAAGTCTATTGATTAAATAGGCAGTAGTTAATATAGATTCTCCCCAAAAATGATGTGGAACAGCACTAGCAAACATGAGTGATCGAGCTACCTCCAACAAATGACGATTTTTTCGTTCTGCAACCCCATTTTGTTGTGGGGTAGATGTACATGAGCTTTGATGAAATATGCCATTCTGAATGAGGTAATCTCCAAGAATCTGTACAAAGTACTCTCCTCCATTATCTATGGAATATGTGAATATTGCATTGGAACACATTCTTTATCATTTTATGGAACTGTTGAAACACATACTCAGCATCAGATCTGTTCTTCAAGAGATAGACCTAACAAGCACAAGTATAGTCATCTATGAAAGTGATAAACCATCTCTTGCCTGTTAAATCCACAACCCATGATGCTCCCCAAATATCACTATGAACAAGATGGAACGGTTTGGAAGGTTTGTAATTGTGAATAGGATAATTTTTTCTTGACTGTTTCACAAGAAGAAGAAGGATCTTTATTGAGAAATAAGTTTGGATACAAATGTTTTAAATATTGAAAACTAGGATGTCCTAAGCATTTGTGCCATAGAATTACATTTGAATTCAACGAACTAGACACAGAAAGAGATAGATGTGGTTTTGTCCTTATAGAAGAATCAGTGAGATAGTAGAGATCATGTTGTTCTTCAGCATTGCCAATCATCTTCCCCGTAGATGGATCCTGAAAAATACAACGATCACAAAGAAATGTTACTTTACAATTTTGATCTTTAGTTTACTTACTAACAGAAAGAAGATTATATCTTAAACTTGGAACATGAAGAACAAATTTCAAATAAAGTCATTTGGAAAAAACATCTCCAACTCCGGCCACACTTATTGTATTCCCATTTTCCACTGAGACTTTTATCTCACCATCACATTTTTTATAATTCAAAAAAGTTGTATAATGTCTTGTCATATGATCTGATGCACCGGTGTTAACAATCCAGTCATTGAGACCATCTTTTCGTGATAATAGAGATAATGAGATATTACCTCGTTGTGCAATTGCTACTGTAGGTGTAGAACCTGATGCCTCAGAAATCTGTTGCTGGTGAAGAAGAGACTTTAAAATTTCCATTTGTTCTGGTGTGAAAAATGCTGTGTTAGGCTTCTTTGTCTCAACAGATTCGACTACATGAACTGAAGGGTTGCCTTTCCTCTGATTCCGTGGTTTCCAATCTGGAGGTTTTCCATGAATGTCCCAGCAAGTCTCCTTTGYGTGATACRSCTTTTTGCAGTGTTCACACMACWRGTGGWTTTCTTTTTTCTTCTGAGGTTGAGACCAAGTAAATGCAAGTGCAAATCCTTAAGATTGTTCCTTTAGGATTCCGTGTGAGGATGGGTTCAACATGACATTCCTCCTGCTTTCTTCTCGTCGAACCTCAAAGAACACCTCACGAAGTGAAGAAAGGGGTTTGATTCCAAGAATACAACCTCGTACTTCATCTAAGTCTTTATTGATTCCTTGAAGAAAATCAAATACTCGATCTTTCTCGGGGACTTGATTGTACAGTACTCCACTATTAGTACACTTCCATGGAATTGTATAAAACAAATCAATTTCTTGGCATAGATCAATCAGCTTGTTGTAGTACTGTTACTGACATTGATCCCTGCCTTATATTCCGCAAGAGAACGAATTTCAAAACATTGAGACGTGTTTCCAAGATCTAAGTACATCTCTTGAACAGCCTTCCATATTTCATGATCATTCTTGTAAAACAGATACATGCATCATATTTGCAACTCCATGGAATTGATTAACCACGCCATAACAATGGAATTTTTAGCTTCCCATGTCTTGTAACTTGCATCACTGCTTGCTGGAGGAGGGATTTCACCAGTAAGGTAACCCACTTTTCCTTTTCCTCGAATTACTAACAAAACGGATTGAAACCATTCACGAAAATTGGACCCATTTAATTTATGTTGGATAATTTGCAGAGAATGGCTTATGTCAGAGGTGGTGAATAAGGTTCCAAGGGATCTCGATGCATTCATGGTTGAATCTACTACTATCGAGTCCACTGTTGATGAGGAATGGCTCGTTGTAGACATCGTCGCAGGCTCTGATACCATGAAAACAAAAACAAATGTTTGAAGATTTCTATTCTAATTTCATTGAGAAAATCTGTACAAATATATACAACTTCTAAGAATCAATCTAGGAGCTATTCTAGGAAACTAACCCACTAATTTAGCCTAGAGAAAAAAAGGAAACTAAATCACAACCAAAAAAAAAGAAAATAATCACAGCCTAAATAAGAAAATAAATAACTAAAAAACAGGAAAGATTCTGACTCGAATTCCACAAGGAATAATCCTCGTCATCCCTTTCCAACACTGTACATATTTGTATTTGTACCCTTTCCAAATTGAGCCTTGAGAAACAAGAGAGAAGATGAAACGAACAACCATTTCTCTTAAAGTTAAAAGATTCCTCTTAAGAGAAAGAGTTAAGAGGAAACAAACAGCCCCTAACTTGAAATGAACCACAAAAGATAACTTATATCACAGAAAGACCCAAGAGGCCAACACCCAAGAAATGTGCACCCAACCGCCCCTGACCAGAATCTAAATTATTCCAAACTATCAACAAAACCACCCAAAAACAATAACTTGAGACCCTATAAAAACATGCAAAACAGAATACATATTCACAATGAGAGATACGGACTAAACTTTTGGCAATTCATCAAAGTACATATCCACACTTGTCAGGCTGCGATTTTATCTTGCACTAAGCAATGGAAAGTTCAGCATCCAGACTGGAACTAGAAGCATAAAAATTGATGAACATATTGAGAGATTTTTATACTTTCATGTGCAATTGCCCAAAATATAATCAGGACACACTAAGTGTGAAGAATGATCTGCCTTATACTATAATCAGGACACACTAACTTTTTAATAAAATCTCAAACAAAATAACAGTGTGAATTGTTAAAACAATTACACAAAAAACAGAATAAAACGAATGATCTGCCTTATACTATAATTCCAACTTCCCTTGTACTATAATTCTTCAGCGCCCATCTATTTCTTTACAAGGTGTGGTAATCTAACGGAAAGCTGCAACTTCTTCCTTGAAGTGTGTGAGTAGATCCTGAATACTTTTCACCGAATGATCTGCCTTATCTCTGACCCGCACACTCACCTATACACAAGAGGGAGTATGTTAAACAACATTGTTCAAAATTTCTACAACTTAAAAGAGTTTCAACTTCTGATATGAATCTATTTCTCTTTTTCCTTATATATTTTTTTCGGTGGGGTGGGGGTTGGAGGGGATGATATAACTAGCTTCAAATTGGAAGTCCGATTAGCTGATATTTGAGTTTATTTACAATATCCACAAGGATACTGAAAGCATCTGAGAATGCAACTACTAGTGCCAATCTCATATGGATTTAAATTTTGCACCAAGTTCAAATTTTCCTCTATTTTGCAATCATGTCCACACCTCTAGGGGGTAAAATTTATGCTGGGACCACATATTTAGCATCTCCATGGGGTGCAAAATTTGCACCGCAAAAGGTTATAAAAAATCTCATTCATCTTTCTCCCTCATTCATCCTCTCCCATAAAGAGTGAATAAAACTTACTACCCTCCAAACAGACAAGGTAAAATCTGAACTGAAGTGAACCGAGATTTTACCAACCTTGACATTTTACTCACTGCAAATGAAATTTACACTCAAAATAAATGCAGTCTTGTGTATTATTCAATGCCTTCCCCTGCTAAAATTATGTGATACAATTGTTTATGGTACCATGAGAGTAAAGTGTATAATCATGCCTTTGTTATAATTAAATCACTTCCTGAAATGTCAGATAATATTCCCTTTTTCTTTCACAAAGATTTTCTGATTACCTTCAGTTTTATGCCATTTCAATATGTTTACACCAAATATCGAAATATTTTTTCCATCTTTAACAGAGAACATACACCAGAAACAATATATAAAATCTTCACCTGAAGTAGGGCCACCTTCAAGGCATTGCCTAGTTTGCCTAGATGAGAAGATGCTATTTGAAGTCACCTAAAGGGTTTTATTGTTGAAACCACAAAAAGGGTTTTGCTCTTTTTCTTTCTATACTCTTTATCTGTGAAAAGATAATGATCATCGAATGCAATTAAGATGCTGCTTCAATAGTTTAATTTATTGAATCTTCTATTAAATCTTCTGCCATAAGACAGTAAGTTACATGTCTCCATAGTTACATGCTAAATGTTGTATATTCAATTTTATTTTTAGTTGTTTAATTTATTTACATGGTCCAATTTGTTTGTTGTTTATTTTCTGCTATATATTTCTTTGACAGTTGTGGCTTGTCTGTTAGTGTTTCTTTGGTATGTAAAATTCATTGAATTGCTTGTCATTACCTTTTAAATATCAAATTAGAAGAACACAAAACATGGCTTATCTCAAGTAGACAAACAATCAGGAATTCAGGATTGCCTGTGTGCCCTGACAACTATGCTATAAAAATGACAAAATTCATCATTTTTTTGACAAGGGTAGCACGCACTTATCATTCATTAAATTGTATATAAGTTAAAAGAAAGCATCCCTATGTATTAACAATTATCATATAAGTGATGTATATTTTGACTTTTCTCTAGGGCAAGCGTCCAAATCAGGCAGATCTAAAAAGTGAAAGTTAAGAAAATATGGGAAGAATAGAAGGTAGAGAATTTGGAGTCTTCACAAAAGAGAAGAATGGAGATACCTACCCAGTCTGACAATGTACACAGTCTAAAACAGGACCCAGGCAGACCAAAAGAGAGTTGACACAAATCACACAACCAATTGTAACAGAGATTAGACCCACTGATAGGTGATTTAAGAGGCACACCTAGGTGCACAGACGAGGCACATTTTAGGTTAGGCACCTTGCCCAGGTCCTAGACGCAGCACTTTCAAAAGGCGCATACCTGGTGCGCCTAGGCATGCGCATGCACCTTTTTGCTTTTTTTGAACCTAGTGGCTGGGCCAGGGGCTCTGCCCCCTAACCCCCAACCACATCCCTCAAGGCAAGCCCAAACAAGTCCATGTTAGGGTCCTAAATTCTTAGTTCTCACAGAAAAATAATGTTTTTATAATTTTAATTGCTTTTAAGAAGATATTTTATTAGAATGAATGAATTAACAACATTAGCAAATAGGGGGTTCTTGGAGCTTCGGTGAGCGAGCAAAGCGAGCGAACCGGAGCAGAATGTAATATGTTTTACATCACCATTAGCTACTTGAATTAATGCAATTGAGGAAAAAAAGAGATTGTGGGTTTTACATGCTTGAAAATGTTTTATATGTTTGGTTTTATTTTAAAATTTTCATTTAAATACTCTTTACATGTTATGCTCATGTATTTCAATTTTTTTACTTTTTTTTTATTTTGTTGGCCTTTGTTTTGAATTTTCTGTTTTTTTTTTTATTTTTTGAGTTTTTTTTTGTATTTTTGCACCTTGCTTCAAAAAGGCACATGCCTCGCCTTGCGCCTCAGGCGCAAATTGGCCCTTGCAATTTTAAAACACTGCCACTGATGCAATCAAAGTAATGAGTCATTTTCAGTTGGAAAATATAATATGGTTTACAAGATGCTAAAGCACCAGCAAAGTCAGCAACAATGTTTGCCTAATATCTTCTCCGATCTGTTCTCCATTGTGACAGAAAAAGAAGCTAAAGTAGCCAATTGCTACAAATCCAGAGGGAACCAAATCATATGGTGCCCAAGTTTACAAAGCAATCCCCAGGACAGGGAGATTAAAGAAGTCTCCTCGTTAGCTCATCCAGAATCAGAACTCAAAAGTGGGAGAACAAAATTGAAGAGTGTCGTTGTGGATTCCTCGGGAATATTTACTGATCATTGGTGAGGAGTTTACATAACCATACCAATTGCTCCTTCCCTATCAGAGTTGTATAGAACACCCAATCCTCTCCAGGGTCTCATTCATGCTACGGACTGCAGCTTGGGGAAGATTTATCACTCAGGCTAATCTTATTGGGAGGGAGCCAGGTTGTGTGCTATGTAACCATACGCTAGGATTGCGGATCATATTTTTCCTCACTGCCCCCAAGCAAGGAAGATTTCTGGAGATCCTTGCAAAGACTAACATTGTCAGGTGTTGTTTTCCCAAGACAGTCAAAGAAACTCTTTGTTGCTGGCCCAAGCAGGGACTTCCAATAAAAGGCAAGAAAGTTGAAACTCTGATTCCAGCAGCAGTGATTTGGAACAATGGAGGGAGAGAAATCAAGGGGTTTTCAATAATAAGTACACTCAAAGTGATGAGGTGTGGAGGAGGGTGATTGGTTCTCTTTACTCTTGAGTGAGGGTGTAGGTAGACTTTAAGGGGGTGATTTTTGTGGATATTTTGTCGGTACAGTGCTTTTGAATCTGTCATAGGTTTTCTTTTGTTTGGATGTATGTCTTACTTTCTCCTCTTTTACCAATAGTAACAAGGAACAAGACCCATTGATGCAATCACAATAAGATAATGGTTTACAAGATGCTAACCTATTTGCAGAATCAATAATCCATTAATAGACAATGGATAGCCAAGTGCATGTATGCAATAAATTATTTGAATGAACCAACCTGTCCAGTGTTTGCCTCCTCTTCACCAACAACCAATATATAGTTGTACTGTGCCAACTGTGCTTCTCGTACCTGAAAAGATCCAGAAAACACTTGGATGAGTTTCAGGATAACTATTGGGATGAAATACACCAATTATGATAAGGGAGAATCTCCACTACATGTTGTGTCTTTAAAATCAAGCCTTTTGCTTTCTATTAATAAAAGTTTTTACAGACAAATGTTTGTCTTTTGCAAAAAACGAAAAACAAAACACAAAAAATGGAAAACCTGGCAAGTTTATGACCTCTATTAACTCTTTAATTTTTAAGACAAAAGTCAGACCCACCCAACAGCATTCCCAATAGTAATAGTAATAGTAATAGTAATTGTAATAGTAATAGTAATAAAATGATACTCATCCTTTAACTTAGCAAGCACACATGTTTGTTTGTATTAAATAAATCAGAAGTTCATCCTAGTTATCAGACTAGAAGAACCCTGTTGAGTGCTTGGGCCACCCTCAGTAACTTCCTTGGTCAACGTCAATCCTGGTGGATCTTACTTGAATCTTCCTATTCATATTTATGCACGATTGATCTCATTAATACATAGTACCATGGGTTTTTTGACATTAGTGTCATTCACAGAAAAAGCCATATCTTTTGCAATCAACTTTCTCACCTATATCAGACTGTTAATTGCAAAATTGTTGCAGCAGTGGTACTGCAATTATTTAGAACCAATTTGGTCTCTATGTGAAAATTAGCAAAATTGTTTTCTTTCTTTATTAGGGATATAATTAATGCATATGGTTTTAGTAATAGGGTGTAAATACAACTTTTAAAATGCAGGGTGTTTAAGTACTAAAAATAGTCTCTTAAATTTAAAAAGCATTTGGATGCAAATGTTCATAGTTGAGAACTGTCCAGACATTATGCTTGCCCAAATAGTGGGGTTACCTTCATCTTGTTATGATAATTGAGAGGATAACCTCGAATTGGAACATAAGGCTAGCAGCAGCATATGATCTGTTTGTTAGTGAGCTCCAACTCAGGTATGTAGCACTGAGTGTTCTAATTGACTAGCAAATCTTCGTGTAGGCTATGGGTTATCCTAATGGTTTTTACAAGACACATGTATGGCCAAACCTGTTTGCCTGTGTTAATTCATATGTTCCTTGGAAGTAGCCATCTAATAAACGATTGATGCTCTTTACACTGAAAAAAGCAGTAAATACTCTACGAAAGGTTTCATTATGAACCATTAAAATCATCATAAGTAGCTATGTGAATTTTGAAGGTAGTATCTCTCTTAAATTAGACATGGCTTTCTAGAGAGACCTGCAGATGTGTCATGTAGATATAAGTTAAGACTTTAAGTATTTGCAACCACTTAGCATCATAAAAGGTATGACCCGGTACCTAGATAAATCTATTTGATTATTTTAAAAATCCAATCCTAGAAAATTCATTTCCTTTTTACCGACTCTTGTAACAAAACCCCAAGTTCTACCAAGTTGTATTTGTACATTACATCCCATCAAAACCTAAACCCTTAAATCCTTTTGAAGAACCAAAGCAGAACTCACATTATTTTTTTGTAATTTTCTAATTCCTATGTTTCTAACTGAAATCTTGAATTTCTAAAATTACTAGTTAATGACTACCACGTACTAGGTACAAGGCAACCACAGCCATTATTTTGTTTCGAACTCACTATTATGTGATAAATTTGGTCATCATTGGTATGAGTCCCATACCATTTGAAGTGAACACTCTTTTAGGGAGTGGAGGTAACCACTCAGTACTCATATCTAAACGAGGCAACCACACCCATTATTTGAGAGTGGAGCTAATCACATATTTGATATTTCTTTCTGAAAGAAGAGGCAGCTATATATTTATACACTCACACATGGGATATATAAGATTTTATTCTTTGGGACCCATAGACAATCATCCTTTCGGTATACACGAAGATAACATCAATGATCATACTCAAAGATTTAAGGTATTTCAAAATCTTTTGAGAACCTTTCATCTCTTCCTTTGACAGAATTTGGTCATTATACCATGAAGACAATGAAGTTTACTCTTCTAATATTTTCACAAGTACAGCATTCATCACCAACATGACCATGTCTAAGTAACAAGACAAAATAATTTTATGAAATCAGCAGTCCAAAAGAAATGTCGAGGAAACCATTCTAAGCAACATTTGTAAATCAATTCAATTAAATTAATCTCCAATTCTCACAATAAGAAAACAATAAAAGTATTTACCTTTTTCTGGATCTTTCTATCTGTTGTATCAACATCAACATAATAACCAGCCTGATGAATTTGATCTCGTACCTATAAAGACAAAGAACAAAAGACATGAGCATCCATTGACCTCTGAGTCGTGCAAATTTAATCATACAAAGACTAACAATTAACAGAATAAATATCTGCACAGGACCACAAACAATAACAACATGTAATATCTTTTTATGGCTAAGTTACAACTTTATTAAATAAGATAAAGAATGGTTTATGTACAAGCTGCCAAGTAGCCCCAATTTAGGCTACAAGTTACCACTTTTTTTTGATGAATTACAAGTTACCACTCAATCAGTCTTTCTAGAATAAATTTTATTTCCCAACCACCACCACAATAGCTGATCCCTATTTACCCCTTGTTTACTGCCAAAGCTTTTGGCAATTTATATATCCAAGTATATTCAATCTCCATTCCTTTTCAAGGCCCTATCTCCTTGAATGTGTTCTTGTAGTACCACGAACCTTCATTGTTTTCCTTATTTAAAACCTTACACAAGTCACGTTCCATTTTACTCTTGACTCTTGAGAGATATCACCAACCACAGGCCTTCAACCACTTGTAGCAGCTCCATCCTTATAGAGCTTCTATGACCTACAGGTCGTGAGCCCATGGCTAAAATATATCCATGGAAATCTCTAAAAATTCATCCAATAACTGATGTGTCTAGATTGCTCAAATTATAGCCATCAAAGTTTAGTTTAACTAAATTAGAACTAGGTGGGTGCCAAGTGCCATAGACAAGCAACCAAAGTTCTTGCTGAAGAAGGAGCAGCCACCCACAGCCAACCTCAAAAGATATCATCTAAAGAGAATTGCTCAAAGATCCTAAAAGCTTTAATATGGTGCACCACTGTTACTGAAATGTTTTCAATAATAGCTTCTTTAGATCATGCAATGCCCTTTAAGGTTTTGGCACTTCTTTTTTCCCAAATGGTCCAAAAGACTGCTGTCCTTAAAAATCTCCACATAGGTTTTGATCAATAAATAGTCTTTCCTCTCTTTGGCATGTAAAGAAAGAGGCCTTAAAATGATCCGCTACCTCATTAGGAGAGGTCCACCTGCAACGAAAAGAGTAGAGAACCACCCCCAAATATAAGCAACAAATGCGCAAAAGATAAGTAGGTAAAAGGCAGGCAGATTCTCCACTTGTCTTACAAGAAAAATACAAGGGATGAACAGTTCATCTCTACAAGGGTCTTCTCAACGAAAGACCATAATTTTGGGTGGAATTGGGTTGTTCCAAAGGGGGATAGAGCCTTAAAAAATGAGAGACAACAGAAAAAAAAAAAAGGCTTTAAACCTTAAAACTCAAGACTCAAGAGTATGGAACTGGAACAAGGTAGGAGAGTTCAGTTAAATCTTTATACAACTTTCTAGTGGGGGAAGGTGAAGTTTTTCCCAGTCAGGCTATTTGGGGGACAGTGGCACCCTCAAAAGTCAAGTTTTTTGTATGGGTAGAAAAGTGCCTCTCCAAAGAAATGTTGCTGAAGAAAGGTTTCATCTGCAATGACTTGAGATGCTCTCTTTGTAAAGTGCAACTAGAATCAGACTGAGATTTGTTTCTGCATTGCAAGTTTGCTTCAGAAATTTGGAGCTATTTTTTAAAGCCCTGAATTTAAGTTGGTACATGCCCGCCTCAGTGAAAACCTTGCTGGATGAATGGAACTGGAATCAGACAGACATTTGTTTCTGCATAGCAAGTTTGCTTCAGAAATTTGGAGCTATTTTTTAAGACCCTGAATTTAAGTTGGTGCATGCCTGCCTCAATGAAAGCCTTGCTGGAGGAATGGCACATATCTGGGTTGACTAATAAAGGGAAAGTCTGCTGGTCTTCCATCCCTTTGGCAATTCTGTGGGCGGTGCGGCTGGAAAGAAACAACAGAACTTTTGAACAGAAAGCTTCTTCTGAACCTGAGGTCATCAATATGGCTATAGGGTTTATTAGGAGTTGGTTGTCTATACATGCTGCATTTAAAGATGACATGTCTGATAGTAATTTTTTGAGGATGGCCTTTTTTTGAGGTCCAACTTGTTAGCTATTTGTACAGCTTCTCATTGTACAAAGCTACAATCATACTTTACCTTTTCTCAAAAAAAAGAAAAAGAAAAAAACAGAGGCCATCCAAATTCTATAGTCAGGTTTAGTGGTGGCAAGGACCACACTTCCTAAAATCTACATGGCCTCTCCTCAACCCCAAAGATAAACCTACCTGAGAGAACAATGCAAAGTGGGAGACATAGTTTAGATTTGTGAGACAACAAAGAAAATAAGAGGGGGGTCAGATTCTTTTAAAGTTCTACAACCCATGAAAGGTCTTCCCAATACTTGGTCAAGTTCCCATAAGAGACATAATGGTGAATATTATGCAGGAAAAGAGGAAGCAAAGCTGAAATGGGTTTCCAAGGAGTCAATGTTGCCCTTGTAAAAAAGCCAACATCCCAACCATTTTCATATAAAAGCTGGATTCCTAATACTAAATCTCCCCATACCCAGATCCCCAAGTTCCTTCCTTTGGGCCACTATCTTCCAATTTACCTGATGATCCCTCTTTTTTTTTGAAGATAAATAAAAATAAACTTTATAGATGAAGGGAAAAGAGAATACAACAGGGTGATAAGGAATCACCCAAACAAGAACAGACCCAAATACGACAGACCCACCCTAACAAAATTAACCCTTTAAACAGAAAAACAGCCCTAGAAAAAACAAAAGCAACCAAAATACTACAGCTCCCGCACCAACCAAACCTTGCCAAAAAACACACAAGAAGAAACACCCTGGGCCCACTCAACCCTCTGAAGACAAACTTAAACTCAAGCTTTATCCTCATCCTGCCCACTATCTAAAACAGAGGTCTCACTTCTCGTCTGAGTGACTTTCCTTATCTCTTCCCCTTCTTTAATCCTGCTCCAAATACTCCCAACCTTAACCTGATAAAAACTTTTGAGGCTTGCACCGCTAATTGGTTTTCTGTCTTCCAAATCTTCTTACTGCATTAGTATTTTTCTCCATCTTCGTATCAGCCTCCCTTTTAGCATTGATTCTTTCTAATTCAAAAATTGCATTCTTTTCAAAAAACTGAGCAGCACTCAGGCCATCCCTCTTAAACTTACCCATCCTCTACATCTCCAAAAATCTTCCACCTTCCAATCTGCTTGGTACTCCCAGAATCAGAACCAGCCACCTTAGCATCTGAAATTGGCAATTTGTCATCCCCTTGTTCTTCTCTTTTGACTGGATTTTAGCATCTTCACTCATCTCCCTGAAAGTGTCCTTTGCAAAGTCCTCCCCCCCCCCAAGAAGAATAATCCCAAAATTTTACTGACCTTCACCACTGTGTTTAGCACCATTTCCATATCTGCAGTTTTCTCAACTTTGTGAGTCTCATCTATATCTACTTCCTCCTCTGTAGCCGAAAATGCTCCACTGTGATCGCCTAAATTTCCGTCATCTTGCAAAGGTCTGGTTCTGTATTTTTGTTTCCTTTTGTAGACTCTGGACGATGATTTTCTTTTCTTCTCATCCTCCCTCTTAGCCTCCTGTTATTCTTTTTCCTTTGATAAGAAACAAATTATATTCATTAAAGATGAAAAATAAAAAATACAGATGGGTAAACCCTGTTTACTCTTCCTCCCACATTTTACTTACAACTGAACCCAAAAACACTGTTCTCTATTTACTCTTTGCTTTGCTAGATGGTCAGCTACGCAATTTGCCAACGAGCCCGTTGTATAGTCATTTGCATATCCCTTAGTAACCATAATCTCATTCCTGAACACCCATAGAGCACTGTCAGCCTTCAACATCCAGCTTACGACCACTTTTGAGTTTCCCTCAACAAAAAGTTTCTCCACTCCCATTTCCATAGTTTCCTACACTCCAAAAACTGAAGCCATCAGTTCTGCCTTGGTAGAATTCCCAACTTCTATTGGTCCTCAAAAACATAGCCTGTAGTACTCCACTTTTATCCCTTATCACCCCTCCAATTCCATAAGGTCCCAAATTGCCAAAGCTACTATCATCAAGTTCAGTTCTAAAATTTGATAAAAAAAATGATCAGTTTTAAAACCCTATATCAGGTGGAACCCAGTTTTTTATCACCTTTTGCTTTTTTGAAGAAGCTAACACTACTCTCCAGTTCTTCATAACATCACCAATTGTGAAGTTTGAAAACAGGTTCAACGATTTTCACCTAATATGCCACCCTCACCATTATGAATTCAATTACAGCTTCATTACTTCTTTTCTTCTCTTCAAAAATTTGAGCACTCCTTTCCTCCAAAATCATCCAAACCATAGAAGCCTTGTACACCTCCACATCACTCTACCTCTTCTTTTTGGCCACCTGAAGGAATTCAAATCAAACAGCCTATCCAAACAAATTGAAAGAATGCACCTACATCCAACGAGAGAGAAAAACCAACCCCAAATGCAGCAAACAAATGGACAGGTAAGCAATAAGCAGTCTCACCATTTGATCCACACATTAAGCACCCCTTGTTCCGACAAGAAATCCCTCATGATCTTCTCGAGCCTTTTTGCTACTGATGCAAGCAACCTAAAAACAAAGAGGCAACATACTAAAAGATTAGCAAATGTAGAATTGTTCAGTCTGATACTTCCTTCCAAAGAAATGTAACTTATTTTCCAGGTGGCAAATTTCTTGGGATTCTATCCACAATAGGATCTGTAAAGCTGCAAGATCTAGGATTCCCGATTCCCTCCTATCCTATTAGTAGGCCCAAATATTTCAAAGGCCACTGATCCGCATACCTCCCAATGTCTTCCACTCTTCCTCCCCCATGTTAACTCCCACCATACAGCTCCTACCAGATTAATTTTTAAATCTGAAACTTATCTCAAAACAAGATATTAACAGCAGCAAGTTTCTCACACCAAGCACACTGGAATCTTGACAAAACAATATAATATTGTCAGCAAATTGAAAATGAGTTAGCCTTGTTTCGTTCCTCTCGGTCTTCCACCATTCACTAATATAGTTTTCCCATCATTAGCACCTAAGTTGGTTTTCCTTCATAATTTATCAATTTGCTAGCTTTTCTTACTTAGCATCAGAATGGCTTTCTAGAGAGAACAAAGAACAATTAATGTTTCACAAAACATAAAAATATAGAACATAAATAATAAAGCATGCATCGTGGATCATTATCACTTTCCAGATGACAAGTGTTATTTAGACTACTACTTAAGTTCACTAGAACATTCAATTATTAACCAATTTACTTGCCTGCAATGCATATGGTTGAGATTTCTCAGAGACAGGGCAAACAATTGCTTGTCGTGGGCTAAGCCAAAAAGGCCACTTTCCTTTATAGTGTTCCAGAAGTATTGCAAACATACGCTCAACAGACCCAAGGATTGCTCTATGTATCATAACAGGTTTTTCCCTCTTCGCCTCATCCTCTGCTGAATAAGACAAGTTGAAACGTGAAGGGAGCTGAAAGTCAAGCTGCAACAACCACAAGTATTTGTCCTATTAAGCACAAAACTACTAACTCTGTACGTGACAGTGAAATCAAATTTCATTGAGCCGTTGTCAATAACCTGTAATGTTGCACATTGAAATTTCCTTTTCAAGGCATCAAAAACACTAATATCAATCTTGGGTCCATAAAAGGCACCATCTCCTTCATTTATCTGTGAAGTTTAACAATAAATTACTAGATAAACAACAATTGGTGCTACAAAATATGGAAGCACATATATATTGGCAGAAACAAGAATATTTTATGGAAACATTAATTGGTAAATCAGGAATGTCTCCTTAATAGTATTAATAAATTACTCTTCACTGGCCAAAGAGCACTAATTCAGCTCCAACAAAGACTCTTAAAACCCCAAATGAATCTAATTTGTTTGGTAAGTAAATGGAAACTTAAAGATTCTTGGATTAAATTTGGAAATGAATTGTATTCTTAGACTAAATTTTGGAAATGAATAGTAAATTTTGCAACTTGAAAAGCTCAATATGATAAATTATAAATTGCTTTAATTGTTTAATTCTTCTTGTAATGATTCCATCAATGACAAGATCAAAGGGAAACCATTAATAATCAAAATGATAAAGAAATAACATTGGGAAATACCAACAAAATAAAATTGGGAAAGTTATGAGATAAAGCTGATGGCCTAATCACCCAAAATAACAAACATCAATGGGTGAACAGGAAGCTTGTTTGTTGTCTGGTCACAAGGTAGGATAAGTATCTCCAACCTTGTGGTTAACAGCCACAAGGTGGGATAAGTATCTCCCTGCTCTGTACTTTGTACTTACTTTTTCAATAATTAATAAAGCTTCTTAGTTCTCAGCTGGATATTTATCAAAAAATAGAGACAGTACAGGAAATAAAGAGTAACAAGAGAAACAAAGCAAGAGCTAATGGGCTGACCCAGTCAGCCCCCATACACCCAAAACCAATCTACTCTGGAAGGCCAAGGATCAATACAAATCCCATTTAGCTAAATCACTCCTGGCCAAGAAATCAGCTAGCACATTGGCTGATCTGCTAGTTGTTCCTTCTGGCCATCAATGGTCTACCCCAGACCATAACAAGTTCACAACCAGGGAGTCCCTCAACAGATCTACAGTGGAATATGTAAGAGGACATCCATCTAAAATCCCCAAAAAAAATATACCACTAGGGCATTGGTAGAGATTAAAATGTCAACATGCAGAACAAAATAGCAAGAGGAAGCAGAGCTATGATAGGCTATAAAGCAAAGGATCAAAATCCATGTCCCATAAGACACTAAAAAGATAAGGAGCCAAGGAAAAGACAATGAAAAGAAAAAGTCACACTCTGTTCCCATGTTACCCCCAAGTATAGCATGGACAAGGTTTTCATTACAGGCCTTATACTACAAAAGGGTACGAAACATAGAGATGGAACTTATTGTAGGTAGTTTCTTTTGGCATCTTGTTTGTCCATCTAAAATCCTCTGACTTGAACCAAGTATTTGATTCCACTAATATTTTGTTATCAATAAATCACTTTTTCACATTGGAGTTCACCATTACATGGCCAAAGAATTCAAATCTACTGACCAATTACAAGATTATCCCAGCCTGGACCATGATCACCCCTATGACTGCTTGTTTATATTTTTTTATCTTTGTATATCCTTTTATATACAACCTTCTTTTTGCTATTAATACAATAAATATCAATTACCTTATTAAGGAGCCATTGTTTGCGTGATGGTAATAGAATGAGTGTGTGTGTGTATGCATCTGGAGATCCAAACCAATCTCCATTATTCCACCTAATATATCTTTTTTCTTCTTTTCTTTCCCCATTACCTAATTATTCAACCGCAGTTTCAAAAAGTTCCATTCACCTAACAATGTTCTTTAATTCCTCTTTCTGAATAGTCTAGCACAACACAGGAAGCAGGAAACACCATAAGAATATTGTTTTTGCTCCAAATTCCCACCATCCCAAAATACATCAATTGAACACCATAATTTATCTGATGGACTTGAAACTTGGTACTAATTTTACAGTTGTGTATTCAATAGAAAGACATGATGTACATGTAAGCAGAGTATAAATATTGTGTTTCACATTTAGTGCATAAATGACAGAAACAAACAGAAAAGCCTAGGAACACTAACAAACAACAGCAGAAGCTGAGAAAAATCACATTACGATGAAAGAGTGTTTTAAAAGCATAAGGGACATTTTGCACCCGAGGTGCAAGGTGCAAAGTGAGGCATGCACCTTTTGAAAGTGCTCCACCTGGGACCTAGGCTAGGTGCATACTCTAAAATGCACCTCGCCTATGCCTTTTAAATCACTGGGAGCAGTGATTTAAAAGGCATGCCTAAGCGCACAGGCGAGGCGCATTTTAGGGTATGTGCCTCGCCTAGGTACTAGGTGCAGCCCTTTCAAAAGGCACACGCCTGATGCACCTCAGCTCCAAGAACCCCGCATTTGCTAATGCTGTTTATTCATTCATTCTAATAAAATATCTTCTTAAAAGGCAATTTAAGTTATAAAATCATTGTTTTTTATATAAGAATTAAGAATTTAAGACCCAAGCATGGACTTGTTTGGAATTGCCTCGAGGGACGTGGTACAATGGCAGCTCGTAGAATCAGGAATGCAATATGTTTTACATCACTTTGCTACTTGAAGTAATGCAGTTGAAGAAATAAAAGAGATTGTGGGTTTTACATGCTTGAAAATGCTTTATATGTTTGATTTTATTTTTAAATTTTCATTTGAATACTCTTTACATATTATGTTTATGCATTTTAATTTTAGATAATAGGTTTTATAAAATATTTATTTTAAAATTTAACTATATATTTTTATTAATATTTCGTTATATATTTTCTTTTTTTTTTGGAATTTTTTGAATTTCCTGACTTTTTATTTTTTTAGCATTTTTTGTGTATTTTTGTGCCTTGCTTCAAAAAGGTGCTTGCACTTCGGGCGCAAATTGGCCCTTGGGCTTTTAAAACACTGGCTGGGAGGGAAAGAAATCAAACTTTGCATATAACCATGACTTTTGAAACAGCCAGCTTTTTTGGGATTCAAGCACAGGAAACAATTTCTATGGCTTGATAGAAAGATGAATTAAGGCGAAGTGCCAACTGCCAACTTACCTGCCATGGTTTACCAAACTCGTTTAATGCTTCTGTAAGAGCAGCTTCAGCTTTTTCCCATGTTTCTATATCTCCTAGGAATTTCTCCGGCCGCTAAAAACAATGGTACAGAGGATATGAAAAGCTGAACCTGAAGCATCTAATCAAGGCATAATGCATAAAATAGAACAAACTAGCATGAATCAAAAAAATGCTATTACTGGCATGTGAAATGTTTAAACTATAATTTTGGGAAATAGAAAACACTTTTACATCTGAAATAAAAGCATTGTTTATTAACTGAACTTAGTTCATAATAGCAAATCAGTTCACATCGAAAAATACATGTTTATGCATCTTCTGCACCAAGCACATATAACACAACATTCAGGTAGGCTCAATGAGAAAGTTATTCATTATATCAAAATGTCAGAAAAATATGCTGTGAAGTATTGTAAAACTGTAGAGAACAAGAGGAACCAGAATTTCATACCGTTGATAACTCCAGCTCAAATGTGAACCCAAATATATCATATGTGTAACTTATAAATTCCAAGACACTCCTAACTTCATCTTTTATCTGAAAATATTAAACAAAAGTAGTTATCCTAGAGAAAGTATAAAACACAAAGAGAAAAAATAAGTTAGCTTTAGTGTGCATACAATGTGTGTTTAGTATCTGCTACATATTAATAAACATAACCACACCTGGGATTCCCTACAGAAGATGTGAGCATCATCCTGCACAATAATATAGACTATATTATATATGAATCGATTTAACAACTCTCTTTTGCTAAACCAGATCAAAGAGCTATGTTAAGGTATAAAAAAATAAACCTCTCAAAAGAGAAGGCCAAGCAGAACTAAATACGCCAAAACTGAACAAAATAGCAACAACCAGGAGGGATGCTCCCCAATGCAAATGAAGGAATAAAAGAATCATAGGTAATATAGTAAAGAGTGACAACCATGAAATTAGTAATGCAGGGTTCTTAGTGCAAAATCTAGAAAGAATAAAAAAATAAAGTGTGCTAGGAGGCCTGACAGGGTCTAAAAGATAATAGGATGTCACTCAGTTGTAAGCCATTTCAGACCAAGGAAACCAACTGATAGTATAGCAGTACTAATAAAGCTAACTAGCAAATGCTATGCTATAAGACATCATGGTACAAGCATTTGAAGTTTCCCCAGAGTACAAGAGACATGCAGCCAAAAAGGAAAAGGTCTGTAATCTTTGGGATCCATATGCATAGACAATTTTTTGAACGTATATGCATAGAAAATTTTCAGTGGAATGCAAATGGATCAATGCAATTGAAAGGATACCTGTTGAAATCTCCTAACACGTGTCAAACCAGTAAGTGCACCACTAGCTTCGTTGCGATGCAAAACTCCAAAATCAGCCAAGCGAAGTGGTAATTCTACAATAGTAACACTAAATAATCAAAATGCATATTATTGAAAGAACAGAAGAGGATATAATGGAACAGCAGAAGAAATAATAAGTTACATATTTAAACAGGAAACTCAAAGATAGGATCAGAAAATTCACAAAACTAGATAAACAAACAGAAATATGAATTATCAGACAAAGACAATAGCTTACTCTATATCTCATCCTAAAGTCATGCTATAATTATGCTGCAATTTCATATTTTTGATGCATTCAATGTTGAGATTGAATGACAAAGTTAGCTATCATTAGAAATTTATGACATCCAGTGCTTGAAGGAATTTAGCGGAATGTACATGTTTCCACAGCTTAATTTATGCCTGTAAGCTTTCAAAGTCACTTACAACTTACAACATCTTTTGTGTCAATACAATTGTATTTCCTCAAACTACCAGTTAGAGATCAACTACCCTTGAACCAACCTAAGGAGTGACCTTAACCAGTGAAGCCCAATGTCACTCAGTTTTACTACCACAAGGCTTTTAAGCCACAACAGCCTAACTGAATTGTCAGATTCTGTTACAAGCACCTATAGCTAGCTGTAATGGATCTGGTAGTATAAGATAAAATAATGGAATGAGAGGCAACAGAGAAGCATTACCCTAATCCCCTTCTTCATAGACAGAATCACCCATCTGCAACAGATAGACTTGTTGGCCCTTGCATTTGTGTCCAGGCCAAAATTTGTCATCACAGTCATAACATAAACCCTTTTCTCTCCAGGCCTGCATTTCAGCCCATGCGAGCCATTTAAAAGGGACAGGAGTTTGATCCTGTGGTCCTAGATCCCGAGGTTGAGGGCTACGCTTGAGGTGTGAGAGCTTCTCCACCTGATTCCCCATAGTACAGCTGACACTTCTGCTCTTGTTAATTCTCCAACACCTAGAGGACCTCAGAATATGCCAATAATAGTTCTTTGTCTATTTCTAAATGCTTCACCAACTCCTGAAGAACCTGCATCGCTTATGCTGAAACCATCAAAATTCAACTTAAAATGGTTCGGGATCAGAGGGCTCCATTGCATGGTAGGCAATGTTTTACTAGTGGATTATTGTGCAATATGCTGCCACCCTCTAAGTAAATCAACTTTAGGAAAGGGGGCAAAAGCTGCACATCCCTCAAATATTTATTTTTGTATAGATTAAGTATCACAAAACTTTGGGAAAAATCATCAAAATCTAACAAGGTAAAAGATCCAAACAAAATAGCCTCTCAATTTTATGACCACCCATTCCTCCAAGCAATTTTACTTTTAAAGTTCCATTGTTTGATAATTAATAGGAATTTCATTAAGAAGTATAATTTAATGTGCACTTTACAATCTGTATTTAGAAAGGCTACCACCTTTCCCAATCATTTATATTACAAAATTGCCCAGAAGGCCAGAACCCTTGATCCCTCAATGCCCCTTATCTTTTATGTTTCATTCCTTCCATAGACTGAGGCAAATTGCAACCAGAACTTTGATTCCAGAGGATTCACCCTTTCTTGGGGGAGAGGGAGGACTTTCACCAGCCATGATGGAATCAGAAATTTCAAATCAGTTAGAAGGATGCATTCCCGTCAAAAATTACAAAATTACAACAAATCTTCATGGAGAATAAACAAAATGTATCGAATTGTGCTGAAACAACCAATGCAAAAAAAAAGTAGCAGAAGTGCAGAACACTTGAAAGAAACCATTCTGATTTACACTATTCCACCCTCTATACCCAAAAACTAACACCATCTATAAGCAAAATCCACCCTCTTGGACACATGAAGTTCATTTACAATCAAAACCCATTCATTTATTAAGTGCAAATTTCTAGATATAATCTTTTGAAGAATCAAACTACATCATCAAATATCCTTCTATTTCATTTTCCCCAAATACTTAAAGACCACAAACATCAACGGGAAACTAAATTTTCTTGGATGTGCAATGGACAAGTTGACAGAATGCTGAGAACAAGATAGGATCTCAGGTCTGGATTTTGAACCTCCCAGATTTTACCAACTATCCAGTTGGGACCTTCATAATGGGAAATTAACCACTCTCTCCGATTGTTACCATTTAACAATTAAGAATGCATAGTTGTTACAGTGGTACCTAGACAACGAGGAAGTTTTAGGTTTGTGCCTAACTCTAGTAGTATTATTATTATATGAGAGTATATCAATTTTAGTTATTACACAACTAAACCATTTTATTTGTACAAATAAAGGTGAAAGGGGTAAAAGAGCATCATGAAATACAAGTATTCAATTTATCATAAAAAATACATGTTTTGTTTTTTGAACAGGTAAAGTAAAGTTTCATTGATAATGAGAGGTTGTACATAAGATTATGTACCAAAAAGATACTTTACACCCCCCCCCCCAAAAAAAAATCAAAAAATCTACATTCAAAAAAGATAACCAGCTCCTCAAATCCTCTACAACCCTATTAATCACCACAGGTTCTGGTGAAGCTGTCTGTTAAAAAATCCTCAAGTTTCTTTCAGACCAGATGGCCCACAGTACTGCCAAAGGGACTGCAGACCAACAGACTCTCCCTTTCCTAGACAAGCCCAGTATGCCCCACTCTTGCAAAAGGTCCTTGACTGAGAAGGGACAGCACCAGTGCAGGTTCAGGGAGAGAGCCCTTGAGAAATGGCTCCACAAAGCTGAGCTGAAGTTACAGTGTAAGAACAGATAACTTGCTGACTCTTCCCCCTGCTGCAAAACACACATAATCTGTCTTGGATAGGGTGCCCCTTCCTCAAAAGAATTTCCTTGTTCAAACATTTCTCTAGCACAACCACCCAAGTGAAGAATTTAACCTTGGAGGGTGCAGCTGAACCCCAAACGGCCTTGCTGGGAAAAGGGTTCCTTGAAGCTCCAACAAGGCCTTTGTAAAAGGATTTGACTCAGAAAACCCCTCTGGAGGTCCATTTCCAAAGTGTTGAATCCTGATTCTGTACATCCAGAGGTTGATTCTTCAGTAGAGCTAACAAATCAGAAATTTGACTAATCTCCCAATCATTGAAACTCCTAAAAGAAGACCTCCAGCATATTGATCTACCATTCACCTCATAGCAGTCAGCTAGGCCAACCAAAACCTCACCTTCCTCCCATTCCCAACTTTGAAAAGCAGCCCCTCGCTAAAACTACTAAAGACTTTTGATATGCCTTTCCACTAGCTGCAGCCGTAGGAAGAAGAGGGTAATTCTGCATCACAACCATTACTACTCAAACCATATTTCTCAGCAATAACCTTCCTCCACAAATTGCTTGGCTCAGTAGCAAACCTCCATAGTCAACTACCTCCAAATGACACAGGTTTACAGAATACAGACCTGATCCCAGCTCACCATGTGATACTTGGACGAATCCTTCCAACCACTCCACAGAAAGTCTATTATCCTCCTTTCTATCAGGTCAGCCACCTCAGATGGGATTGGAAGAACAGACATGTAATAAGCTGGGAAGCTGAGTAGCTGGGCAGCACACTTTTAATTAGAGTTACCTTCCCACCCTTAGATAGATACCTAGCCTTCCAAGAGGCTAGCTTCAAGTCAACACTCTCTAAAACTGGAGTCCACAGGGATTTTGAAGTGCATTTGGCCCCAGAAGGCAGTCCCGAGTACTTATAATGGAGGTGCCCTACTTTACAGCCCAAAAGCCTCGCCAAGTCAGCCACGTTTTCAACATCCCCGACTGCCATTAACTCACTCTTGGCCAGATTCACTTTTAAGCTTAACAACACCTCAAACCAGTATAGAAAGAACTCTAAATTGGTTACCTATACTGACGAGGCATCACAAGAACAATGTATCGTCTGTAAACAGAAGCAGAGGAATTTCTGTACCATTGTTCCTGAGTTTGAAGCCTTCCACATACCCTGTTTCAGCAGCCTGAGCTGTCAACCAGCTTAAACCATCCATTACAACAAGAAAGAGCAATGGAGATAGTGGATCACCTTGCCATAACCCTCTGTAGCTTTTGAGATTCCCATGAGCAATGCCATTGATTAGGACAGAGAACCCCGGGGTTGTCACAGACACCTTCATCCAATTTCTCCACTTGCTGCCAAAATGCATTCTAGAAATCATATAATTCAGAAAGGCCCAATTAACACGGTTGTAGGCTTTTTCTAAGTCAATTTTGCACACCAAACCTTTCCTACCGCTTCTTCTTGAATCAATTAACTCACTTGCAATTAGCACCCCATCTTGCATGTGTTTGCTATACACAAAGGCCCCCTCATAGGTGATACTAGAATTTTTGCCAGGATTTTGTGCACAATTCCAATAAACTAATTGGACAGAAGTCCTTCATCTCCACAGCACCACTCTTCTTGGGGATTAGGGAAATGAGGGAAGCATTCAAGCTTCTCTCAAGGGCTGCAGCAATTATGAAACTCCTCTAAAGCCCACGTCAGATCATGCTTTAGGACGTACCAGAATTTTTTATGGAACAGATTTGTAAAACCATCCGGACCTAGAGCAGTCCCCCTCCATTTCATCTAAAGCTCTCTTCAACTCCTCTACAGAAAAGGGCTTTTCCAACTCAGCAGCTTGGTGTTCAGCCAACATCTCAAAGTGGAGACCATCCAAAGTTGGTCTAACCCTACACGGTTCACTGTAAAGCTGCTCGATGTCCTTCTCCTGATCCACTACAGAATCTCCAACTTGTAACTTCTTGATGCTATTCTTTCTTTTTCTTATCAGTAATGGGAATTTCATTAAGAAAAATTAAGAAACAGTACAGAATCTAGTAGCCTCGCCTACCCCACTAGAATTTAAATTTTACCAGCTACCAACTTTTGACTTTTCAGCCTTACAACTGAGCCCAAAACAATGCTCCCTGTTAGCCCCTTGTTTCGCTAGCTGATCTGCAAAACCATTTGCCTCTCTTGGAGTCCACTGAATCAATAACTGCATGTCTGTGGATAGGCGTTTAAACTTCTTGATTTCATTTTTTAAGAACCAGGGAATCTTTTCA